CCATTAAAGGTCATGTGTGTGGAAAGGGCGGGGGCCAACTCAATATTGAACCCTACGGACTAAGACTGGGGGGCATTAAAGGTCATGTGCTTGGAAAAGGCCGGCGGCGGCCCAATATTGAACCCTACAGACTAAGACTGGGGGGCCATTAAAGGTCATGTGCTTGGAAAGGCCGGCGGCCCAATATTGAACCCTTCAGACTAAGACTGGGGGGCCATTAAAGGTCATGTGCTTGGAAAGGCCGGCGGCCCAATATTGAACCCTACAGACTAAGACTGGGGGGCCATTGAAGTTCCCAATACTTCCGGTAATATATAAAATATAAATGTATTTGACTCCAGCTGGAACGTAGACTGGCATAGAGGTCTGTTGTGCTGGTCTTACTGTATATGCTAAGCTATTCAGCCAATCACAGAGGTCCCCTGAGTGGCCAATGTTACCCCCCCCCCCAAAAATGTACAACTTTTTGAAGGGATTCCGGGGCAGCGGGAAGGGGTTCACTTTTACACCTACACTAGTGGCCGGCTCTCTTTAAAGAAGGTGGAGGTAATATACAGGAAGACGCCCATCCATTGTGCGACTTTCCGGCGACATTGACAATTGCCGAGACATAAAACACACATCTGTTTAAAATTGCCTACGGTATATTTTGCGCCGGAACACGCCAGGGACATCTCCTTTAGGCTCTTCTCCGCAAACACTTGTTTTTGGCGGATGTTTCTGAGAATCCCACGACAAAAGGGAGGCGAGGAGTGACATTATCGACATTGACGTTTGCACAATCCTTTCCGCGCGGTCTCAACGGTTAATTAAATTTTGTTTGAGGAGAGCGGCTGATTTGTCCTTTTCTTCCTCTTCCTTTAGAGACCGACGCCGAGACGTAGTTTAATCATGTTCCTGCAACTTCATCACTTCATCTGAGCCGTCCTTGACACGGCGCCATCGCGCAGCAGCGGCTGGCCTCGGGGCATTTAATTTTTTATTTATGTCGGCAGACTGAAACTTCAGCTGTTCTCTCGGCATGGCCCGGGATCGCTGCTGATTTGGGCAAGACAAGTTACCACGCGTTATTACCCCAGCTTGGCGATGGGGGTGCTGTAGTGGGCCGGGGCTGAAGACTATGGGAAGTCACTAGGGGGCGCTGTAGTGGGCCGGGGCTGAAGACTATGGGAAGTCATTAGGGGGCGCTGTAGTGGGCCGGGGCTGAAGACTATGGGAAGTCACTAGGGGGCGCTGTAGTGGGCCGAGGCTGAAGACTATGGGAAGTCACTAGGGGGCACTGTATTGGGGCTGAAGACTATGGGAAGTCACTAGGGGGCACTGTATTGGGGCTGGGGCTGAAGACTATGGGAAGCCACTAGGGGGCGCTGTAGTGGGCCGGGGCTGAAGACTATGGGAAGTCACTAGGAGGCACTGTATTGGGGCCAGGGGTGAAGACTATGGGAAGTCACTAGGGGGCGCTGTAGTGGGCCGGGCTGAAGACTATGGGAAGTCACTAGGGGGCGCTGTAGTGGGCCGGGGCTGAAGACTATGGGAAGTCACTAGGGGGCGCTGTATTGGGGCTGAAGACTATGGGAAGCCACTAGGGGGAACTGTATTGGGGCCGGGGCTGAAGACTATGGGAAGTCATTAGGGGGCGCTGTATTGGGGTCGGGGCTGAAGACTATGGGAAGTCACTAGGGGGCGCTGTATTGGGGTCGGGGCTGAAGACTATGGGAAGTCACTAGGGGCACTGTATTGGGGCTGAAGACTATGGGAAGCCACTAGTGGGCGCTGTAGTGGGCCGGGGCTGAAGACTATGGGAAGTCACTAGGGGGCGCTGTATTGGGGCCAGGGCAGAAGACTATGGGAAGTCACTAGGGGGCGCTGTAGTGGGCCGGGGCTGAAGACTATGGGAAGTCACTAGGGGGTGCTGTATTGGGGCTGAAGACTATGGGAAGCCACTAGGGGGTGCTGTAGTGGGCCGGGGCTGAAGACTATGGGAAGTCACTAGGGGGCGCTGTAGTGGGCTGGGGTTGAAGACTATGGGAAGTCACAGGGGGCACTGTAGTGGGCCGGGGCTGAAGACTATGGGAAGTCATTAGGGGGCGCTGTAGTGGGCCGGGGCTGAAGACTATGGGAAGTCACTAGGGGGCGCTGTATTGGGGTCGGGGCTGAAGACTATGGGAAGTCACTAGATGGCACTGTATTGGGGCTGACGACTATGGGAAGCCACTAGTGGGCGCTGTAGTGGGCCGGGGCTGAAGACTATGGGAAGTCACTAGGGGGCGCTGTATTGGGGCCAGGGCAGAAGACTATGGGAAGTCACTAGGGGGCGCTGTAGTGGGCGGGGCTGAAGACTATGGGAAGTCACTAGGGGGTGCTGTATTGGGGCTGAAGACTATGGGAAGCCACTAGGGGGTGCTGTAGTGGGCTGGGGTTGAAGACTATGGGAGTCACAGGGGGCACTGTAGTGGGCCGGGGTGAAGACTATGGGAAGTCACTTAGGAGGCGCTGTAGTGGGCCGGGGCTGAAGACTATGGGAAGTCACTAGGGGGCGCTGTATTGGGGCCGGGGCTGAAGACTATGGGAAGTCACTAGGGGGCGCTGTATTGGGGCCGGGGCTGAAGACTATGGGAAGTCACTAGGGGGCGCTGTAGTGGGCTGGGGTTGAAGACTATGGGAAGTCAGCAGGGGGCACTGTAGTGGGCCGGGGCTGAAGACTATGGGAAGTCACTAGGGGGCGCTGTATTGGGGTCGGGGCTGAAGACTATGGGAAGTCACTAGGGGGCGCTGTATTGGGGCCGGGGCTGAAGACTATGGGAAGTCACTAGGGGGCGCTGTAGTGGGCCGGGGCTGAAGACTATGGGAAGTCACTAGGGGGCGCTGTATTGGGGCCGGGGCAGAGATGGCGCTGAGGAGTACAGCGGGGGATTAACTGAGACTAAAGATGTCTAAAAAAGGTTCACTCCACCCTACACAGCACCTTATCCAGTCCCGCGATCTGATTGGCCGGTTTGCCCGTTCAGCCAGCTCAGCTACAGATTAGGGAGTTTTCACTTTGATGTGATTGTTCCAAAATGTGGAAGTTTTGGTGACATGCTGCCATTTCCACTGCATTGGAGTCAATAGGACAGAAGACATTCTGTTCATCAGAGACCCCCATACATCAGACTGTTCATCAGAGTCCCTCTCAGACATTCATCAGAGACATCCCCCCATACATCAGACTGTTCATCAGAGTCCCCTTACATCAGAGACCCCCATACATCAGACTGTTCATCAGAGTCCCTCTACATCAGAGACCCCTATACATCAGACTGTTCATCAGAGTCCCCCCCCTTACATCAGAGACCCCCATACATCAGACTATTCATCAAAGTCCCCCTACATCAGAGACCCCCATACATCAGACTGTTCATCAGAGTCCCCCTACATCAGAACCCGTACATCAGGGTGCCCATCAGACTCCCCCTAAATCAGAAACCCCTTACATCAGGGTCCCGATCAGAGTCCCCCTAAATCAGAAACCCCTTACATCAGGTTCCCTATCAGAGTCCCTCTACATCAGAGTTCCCCATACATCAGGTTTTTCATCAGAGTCCCTCTACATCAGAGACCCCTTACATCAGGGTCCCCATCAAAGCCTTCCCTTAAATCAGGTTCTCCATCAGAATTCCCCAACACCAAAGTCCCCCTTTACATCAGGTTCTCCATCAGAGCCCCTTTTACATTACATTCCTCGTCAGAGTCTCCCTTACATCAGAGACCCCATCAGAGTCCTCCCTTAAATCAGGGTCCCATCAGAGTCCCCCTAAAACAGAGACCCCTTACATCAGGGTCCACATCAAAGTGTCCGTTACATCAGGGTCCTGATCATAGTCCCCCTATAATCAGGTTCCCCAACAGAGTCCCCCTACATCAGAGACCCCTTACATCAGGGTCCCCATCAGAGTCCCCCCTTAAATCAGGGTCCTTATCAGAGTCCCCCTAAATCAGAGACTCCTTACATCAGGTTCCCTATCAGATTCCCTATACATAAGAGACCCCTTACATCAGGTTCCCCAACAGAGTCCCCCTACATCAGAGACCCCTTACATCAGGGTCCCCATCAGAGTCCCCCCTTAAATCAGGGCCCTTATCAGAGTCCCCCTAAATCAGAGACTCCTTACATCAGGTTCCCTATCAGATTCCCTATACATAAGAGACCCCTTACATCAGGGTCCCCATCGGAGCACCCCTACATCAGAGGGCCCTGACATCAGAGTCTCTATCAGACGCCCACCTTACATTAGGGTCCCACTTTACATCAGATTCTCCATCAGAGCCCCCTTACATTACATTCCCCATCAGGTTCCCCATCAGAGACCCCCTTATATCAGGTTCCCCATCTGCGCTTTCCTCATATTAGGGTCCCCATCAGAATCCCCCCTTACATCAGAACCCCATTCCTTACCTCAGGGTCCCCATCAGAGTCTGACCTATCCTATCCGGTCCCTCATCTGAAGGCCACACCAAGTTTGGAGGTCTTTGGCTATTGACTCTGCAAACAGTTGGCGACTTCTGCGCACTGTGCGCTTCAGCATGCGCTGACCCCGCCCTGTCATGTGACGTGGCCTACCACTTGGTGGCTGAGTGGCTGTTGTTCCCAGTTGCTTCCACTTTGTTATAATCCCACTAACAGTTGAGCGTGGAATATTTAGTAGCCAGGAAATGTCACGGATGGACTTATTGCCCAGGGGGCCACCTATCACGGGACCACGCTTGGAGTCACTGAGCTCCTGAGAGCGACCCATTCTTTCACCAATGTTTGTAGAAGCCGTCTGCATGCCTAGGGGCTGGATTGTATACACCTGTGTCCATGGAGGGGATTGGAACACCTGAATCACATGATTGGGAGGGGATTGGAACAACTGAATCACATGATATGGAGGGGATTGGAACACCTGAATCACATGATATGGAGGGGATTGGAACACCTGAATCACATGATATGGAGGGGATTGGAGCACCTGAATCACATGATTGGGAGGGGATTAGAACACCTGAATCACATGATAGGGAGAGGATTGGAACACCTGAATCACATGAGAGGGAGGGGATTGGAACACCTGAATCACATGATTGGGAGGGGATTGGAACACCTAAATCACATGATATGGAGGGGATTGGAGCACCTGAATCACATGATTGGGAGGGGATTGGAACACCTGAATCACATGATTGGGAGGGATTGGAACACCTAAATCACATGATATGGAGGGGATTGGAGCACCTGAATCACATGATATGGAGGGGATTGGAGCACCTGAATCACATGATTGGGAGAGGATTGGAACACCTGAATCACATGATAGGGAGGGGATTGGAACACCTGAATCACAAGATTTGGAGGGGATTGGAACACCTGAATCCCATGATATGGAGGGGATTGGAACACCTGAATCACATGATTAGGAGGGGATTGGAACACCTGAATCACATGATTGGGAGAGGATTGGAACACCTGAATCACATGATATGGAGGGGATTGGAACACCTGAATCATATGATATGGAGGGGATTGGAACACCTGAATCACATGATTGGGAGGGGATTGGAACACCTGAATCACCTGATTGGGAGGGGATTGGAGCAACTGAATCACATGATTTGGTGGGCGGGGACAATACTTTTGGCAATGTAGTGTAGATAGACAGACAGACAGACAGACAGACAGATAGATGGGCAGCACAGTGGCTAAACGGTTAGCACTTCCTTTTGGCAGTACTCGGGTCATTGGTTCGAATTCCCAGTCATGAGACCACCTGCCTGGAGTTTGCATGTTCTCCCTGTGCCTGCGTGGGTTTCCTCCAGGTAATCCAGTTTCCTCCCACACTCCAAAGACAGGCTGGTAGGTGAATTGGTTCCTGTCCAAATTGGCCCTAGTATGTATATGAATGTGAGTTAGGGACCTTAGATTTGTACGCTCCTCGGGGGCGGGGGGACTGATGTGAATGTACAATATATATATAAAGTGCTGCGTAAATTGATGGCGCTATATAAGTACCTGAAATAAATAAATAAAAATAGATTGATCGATAGACAGATAGTTTCCATAGCTCCATCTCCCAGTATATTCGCTCAATACTTTTAATTTGAATCATTTTCGGTGTCTAGGTGACTCGGCTGCGTAATCCTATCACTGTGACAAACACATTGTTACCTTTTTGAATGCTAATTCACATTTCTGCCCCAGAATTTCCATTTACATGACAATATCAGCAATTTGCATTAATATGAAAAAAAAAAGAAACAAAAAAAAGAGCAATTACAATAAATTGTGGAAACAGGAAAATAAAACAAGGAGTGTTTTGTCTTCATTGGCTCTGACTGATGCACAGCAGGAAAGTCGCAGCTTGCAGTGGTGGGAGGAAATCTCCTATTATGGGGATGGTATACAGGGATGCCTTTGCTGTAGAAGGTTTTTATTTTGCGGTTTCTTGTTTATTTTCGGTTCTAAATTGTGTCGACAAATCTAAATCGGAAGTTCCCGCGAGTGAATATACCAGTTATGATTTACAGGGAAAAAAAAAGAATTTACTGCTCTCACAGCTAAAAGCCACTCAAAACGGAGTTCTTCGATGAATCTGTTTTCCGCATGAATGTCAAAGTTCCATCGTAGGCTGGCCATACATTATACAACTTTCTTGTTGAATTTCCTTTAGATTTACCCTCACCTCTGTAGTGCAGGGGCCGGCCTGACTGCATGCAAACTGAAAGTGTTTAGGTTTCATCTCATAGTTTATGGTTTTAGTAAATCTAAAGGAAAATTGTATGATGTATGGTGTCTTGGAAATTCGCTTTAACGAATTTCTCCTTACCGTGAGTACTCGCAGTTGGATGCGCAGAAATCCCCCATAAAGCTGTACGAATCTCGCTTACCACGACTGCAGCTAAACTACACGATTCCTGCCCCTCCAAATGGGTTAGCTCTGTTGAAATGTGGGTGATTGGAGCTCCTATACCTGGAAATGATCACACGACACCTTCAGGTTGATGGTTGAATTCACATAAGGGCAATTTTCATTCTCCCCTTTGGTTTTATTACAAATACACACACGCCCCCCCACATGAATAAGGTCAAACCCCTCCCACAGAACAATGCAATGGGGAGTGCCTATACACAGGATGTACATTCCGATTGGAGCATAGCCTTTTCTATTATCTGTCACTGGTCTTCCCCCATGAGCCTTCTGAGGTCAGCAGACTTCCTCCCCTTCCCATGAGCCCTCTGTGGAGAGCATATCTCCTCCCCTTCCCATGAGTTCTCTATGAAGAGCATATCTCCTCCCCTTCCCATGAGCTCTCTATGAAGAGCATATCTATCCTCCCCTTCCCATGAGCCCTCTGTGGAGAGCATATTTTCCAGCTCCTAGCAGTATGTCCATTCTCCATACAAGCGTTCCCTAGAAATATCAGTCTGTACCTGGATGGGCCCGATACGATCTTTATTAAAACACATCCATCCAGATACAGTTCAGGTCGGTAATGGGTTGTAAGATATGCATAAGCCTACACGTGGAGTTCACACACCCCGCTTGGCGCCTTGCGTTATGAAGTCCATGTGGTACTATGCTGCTGATATGTGGATACAGGCCCGCGGTCTACTGACAGCGGCATTCGCATCGAATGCCGTGGTGGTATACACGCCGGTCTATAAGCGCAGATCTGCCATCTCATCCGTTACCGAGCTGAGTACTGTAATACATACATTGTACATGCGCATGGCCCAATTGCAGCCTTCAGAGCTTTAATTAAGCCACACGAGAGACATATGAATAACAAGAATATATGACACATTTAAAGTTCGACCAACAATACAAAATTTCCATGACATTCCCTCCTGTTTTATCATATTCTCCTCGTGTCCCTTCTTGATCTTCTTCAGCTTGATGGGTGTAGTCTCAAAACCTCAAAGAGTTCCTGTAGTTGTCCCTGAGAATAAAGCTCCACGGGGTACCTGAAACAACAAGACCCGACGCAGACTCGACGCAAACAGGCTTGATTGAAGCGATGATCCTCAAGAGCGTTGGAACCTTCACTACAGGGAGGCTCTTGTAAAAACCAAAAACAGACTTGTGGTATGAATAAGGGCTTGTGATCCCACGGTGGTCTGGGGAGGTCCAGCAGCAGATTCTCAAATTGCCCCTGCAGACGGGGCCACACAAGGCTGGTCTCGACCCAGACAGTTTTCCAAATCGCAGACACAAACCATGATGAGGCTTGAAGCTTGCTTGGAGGTCTTGGAGAATGTGGTCTTCAGAGAGATAAATTAGAGGGAAGCCAGGACGTAATCTGTAGAGAGAAGGTGGTTGGTTGGTGAGGTCTTCCTCCGATCAGTGGTTGGAGTGGGATCCCAGGAGTGGGCATGGAGATGTGGTCGTCTGCCCGAGCTTGGCTTACACGGTCGATGAGGCAACAGGAGCATCATCTCACCGCGGCATATAAAAGGCAGAGGAAAAAAAGAGAAGCATCAGGACATACACTCCCACTTCCTTCAACCAAGATCCGATGGAGAACAGGAGATCTCCCAATCCTCCCCAAACCCTTGAACGGGTTCCAACCCTCACTAGCTATAGCTCTAGCTTTCCCCTGTAGTTCACTAACTTTGTCCATATGGGCCTGGACCTTGTCATCGGTGTGTGTTCTATCCAAGTACAACAATCCTCTCCGATGAACTCACAGAACCCCCCTTTGGCGGCTAAAAGATGATCAAGGGCCATCTTCTCCTGAAGCACTAAAATTCCCATCTGCCGTTGTTCTTGGGCAATTTCTCTGACAGCCTCTACGGTCTCGTTAAACATACTATCCACGATGACAGAAAAATTGTTCAGGCGCTTCATAAGTTCTATTCCCCATCCTGTCCATGAGGGGAACCAAGCCCATGCTTGGTCTCCCTCAGAGAACAGCTCCCTGCGAACTCTCCCTGCCATCCTTACCTTCTTGTGGACCATCAACTCTTCATGATCCATCACTACATAGGATGCGGGGACTAGCTTTATGAGGGCACACGAACCTTTCGCGTTCTGGGGAAAGGTTCTATAGGCTGCCGAACCACACAGAAAAATAGTATGGACCTGTCAGAGCAGAGCAGGAGGAGTTCCTCGTTCGGCCTCTGGCACTGAGCAACAGTTGCACAGACTGGGGGATTGCTCCCTCAGTCTGCACATCACATCCGTCCTTCCAACACACGTGGTCTGGTCGGTCAGTGTGGTTACTCAGAAGGGAAGTCTGGTTAGTCAGATTGACAGTTATACCTCCCTCGCACAGGTGGTAGTCCCAACAAACTTGTTACCTGTGCCAAAGCTGATGTTAAAGCACACCTGAGGGCTGCCTAGCTGTCCAGTTACCACCCATAATGGACTGACGAGGGTCCTACAGGAGCTAGAGCTAAATATTGGTGCTAAAACTGATGTTACCTGCTAAAAATGTGTCATTAAGTTCTACCGACAAATGTCTACGTGGGGGCTGACCAGGGGTCCCTTGCTTTTTCATGCCGACGCGGATGTCATATAGGGCATGAACAGCGGCCATTGCGGACATGTGATGACTGGGTGGGGGCTTAGAGCATACCCAACAGTTGGTTTTGTTGGCGGTTCTGGCTAAACGCAGATGCATTTTAAATAAAAGGTTGGGGTATCTGCCGTCTTTTCCTCCGTTCACACACATGTAGGACATACAAACAAAAAAGAAAAAGGAAAAATGACAACCCTCATTCTCTGGTGTAGCTGAAAAGCTTCTTGCAGTGGCTTGCGTGCACCCAGTTGTCTCGCCCCTCGAGCTTGAGTGAGGTAGGTGTCGTCAGCTGGACTTGGTATGGTCCGGTGAACCGTGGCTCGAGTCCGGTTCTTTGATGTTTCTTTAGGACGACCCAATCACCTGGCTCAATAGAAAGAACACCTGTTATTGCATTTGGATCGGGGAGCGATTCGCGAACCCGATGGTGTATCTTCTGCAGCTCCCGTTGCAGAGATTGCACATAACCTGTAAGCTGTGAATGCAAAGACGACAACTGTTGAGGAAAGTACAACCCTGTTTTGGGAGGTCCCCCAAACAACACCTCGTAGGGTGACAGCCCATGTGGTTGCCGAGGGGCATTCCGGATGGAATAGGGGGCAATGGGGGGGACACTCAGGCCAAGGTTTTTGGGTATCAGCCATGATGTTGGAGATCCTGTTTTTAAGGATTCCGTTAAGACGTTCAACCTTACCGCTACTCTCGGGGTGATACGGGGTGTGTCGCCGCTGACTCCAGTTCCACCAAAGAAATGCAGTCGTGTCCTTTGGAAGAGAGGTTAGTAGTGGACAAAGAAGACATGTTAGCAGAAGAGGTGTTAGTATTGTTAGTCGTGTTGCAAAATTCAGCACTGTCATTGCTGTCCTCCCCCCCCCTTCTCATCTTCCAACACAGGAAGAAGAGAAGCTGGGTTAAGACTAGTGCATCGTTTGATAGTGAGGTTAGTAAGGGGTTAGGAGGGCTTCCCCCTGAGAGGGGTACCTTGCCTTGGATGTCCTGTTTTCGCAGGACCGTTCTTGCTGCACTGGTGTCGGTGAG